GGGAGGGGAGAGGGGGGAGGGGAGAGGGGGGAGGGGAGAGGGAGGCGGGATTCTTACCCTTAGATAGTCGAGACTGAGTGGACGGATGGCCGGCTGTGTGCTTGGCTGACTTGAGTAACCCAATGCATCGTTCAACGATCCACCTTAGTCTCACACGAACACACGCATGGCATGGACGCATTCTCAATTTGGCTCACCTACCTAACGCAATCACACCTATCTCTCCCTCAGCTGCACATTCTCAGCTGTACACCTCCAGCTGACGCACTCTGTTGCCCTCAGTCGTGAAAAATCAAACCACGCCACACAAACGATCCACCACGCCACACGGCACCGCGTCCCATCACGCCTCTCTCTGGCTGGGCTGCCTTCTGACTGACTCTTCTCTGCCATGACGCCACGGATCCGTTCGCAGACGACACATCGACAGCCCGACACACCACAACGAGAAAGGGAAAAGCAAAGATACGGTGAAAAAATGTACGCACCTCGGATATGTGTGTTGATTGAAACGACGAGATAGAGAGACTGGAGGTCATGGGCAGGGAGAAGAATGGGGCGATAACAGACAGACAGACAGAGATGGGCGCAGTGAGTCGAGTCAGTCAGTCAGTCAGTCAGGCAGGCAAGAGGGCAGAGAGGAGACTGGATGGAGTTGAAATGGTGAGCGAGAAAAAGATTGGCGCAGTAGACAGACAGACAGACAGACAGAGAGAGGGGAGAGAGGCAGGGGAGATTCAGGAGGTGCAGCAGAGGAGAGGAGAGAGAGCAGATTCAGACACAGGTGTCTGTCTACCTGGATAGACTAGATAGTAGGTAGGTAGGTAGGTATCGTCCGTCGGACAATGCAATGCAATATCAATGCCGGCTGCGTCAACGCCACGCCCACCATGTGCCAAGAAACCACATGAAAAATGGCACATGTCCACCCCTTCCTCCCTCACCCATCCCCGCCTCCGTCTCTATCTCTGTCTGTGTGTGCTTTCCGTGAGGAAAACGAAAGCGCCTGACCAATCGGCCAGCCATCGACGAGTGTGAGCGCATCTGGATATGTGGTCGGTCGGTTAAAACCCTCTCCCCTCTGCTCTCCGCGCTCTGGCTCTCTGGTCTGGTGCTCTCTTGTTTCGCTCTCTCTCTCAAGATCGATCGGCACACACAGGCCGCCCTCAGGTGACTGACGTGGATGTCTCTGTCTGTGTGTATGTGTGTCTATACACGGATGAACGGATGGATGGATGGATCATGGATCGCTCTGAATTGGCTCTTTCTACCCGGCCTGGCCTGACATGACAAGAGATGCCCTGTACACCCATTGGACCACCCATCCCATTGACACACACACACACGCACACACACACCCCTCCGAAGATGATAGACATCCACGGATGGACACACGCATGCCATTCACCAGCCGCCCTTTTTGGTATGGGGGGGCCATTCGATGGACAAAATCCGGCAGGTACCTCACGTCACACGTACTTGTTTTGCTCTCCCCTCACTCCCCTGTCTATGCCCATCGGTACGTCAGGTGCGAACGCGCAAAATCCTTACCTACGATGCGTTGCGTTGTACGCACGGCTGTCTGTCTGTCTACAGTGAACACGGATGCGGAAGGCGAGCGCAGGGTGGCTCGACTGCAGTCAGGTAACTGGTGTGTCTTGTGTTCTTGTCTGTCTCCCTTGGCCATTGAGGTGAGTGAAGAGAGAGAGGCAAGATGGAAGAACGAAGCGTTGCGCCAGCACAGAGGCCAGCGGAGCATTGTGTACCCCACCCACCCCACCACAGACCCAGGACGCACCAAAAAGACCCCAAGACGAGTCGCATCGACCAGAAACCCATTCACCCCGGTCATCCCTTGCTTCGTTGATAATTGAAACTCTCCCTCTCTCATATGTGGGTGCGTCGTGTGTGTGCACGGTGCGCCCCCGCCCCTCTGTACAGCTTCCATCGCCTGGTATGGCGATGGATGAAGCGAGGCAGGAGCGACCGAGGCCCGCCACGACGGCCACACACACACACACACACTACCACGGACATGGCAGTTCCATCCATCCATCCATGTAGCTGCCTGGCTGATTGACAGATGGACTAAGGACATCGCCTTACTCTGTCCCATCAATCAGCATCCACAGGGGTAGAATCCCTCCCCTCCCCCCCTCTCCCCTTTCCCAGACAGCATCCGGTCGACAAAAAATACCGTCCATCTATCTATCTGTCGTCGGTATTCTTCGATCTCATCATCTTGAAAAGAGTCTCATCATCTGCGACAACTGCGACTCGTGCTGCCTCTTCTCGTCACCCTCCCCAGCAGCAGCAGCCGCATGGAACGCCGAGGGCGACATCCCAGCAGGCGCGGCCTTCATGGCCGTCCGCATCGACTCGTCGGTGCTGCGCCTGGGGATCTGCCGCGAGATGGGCGGGGCTTGGGCCTTGTTCATGCTGGGCTGCGGGGGTGCTCCCGTGTTGCGCCGGGCGACCTTCATGATGAGCCCGTTCTTGGTGTGGATGGTGGCGCCGGTCTTCATGCCGACCTCGTGGGCGGGCACTGCCAGCTCGAAGGAGAACCTGTCGGCCGATTGACAACGCAAAGGAATAGGGAAGGTGGAGAGGTGCACGAGACGTGTGTCTGTGGGTCTGCCTGTTGCCCGCCAGCCCACCCACTGACTGACTGACTGACCTCCTGAGCAGCAGTGAGAGGGTCACGGATGCCTCGAGAAATGCGAACTGGTCGCCCACACATTTGCGCGTGCCCTGACGGATGCACAGATGCCATTCCAGGCCAACCACCTCGCTCTTTCTTCTTCTCAAGTGTGTCGTGTCGTACCCCTCCGAAAGGCAAGAATGCGAAGTCAGCCATGGTCTCTGTGGGGTATAGCGGGCCGAACTGACCCTCTTCGTAGTAGAAGCCGCTCTCGGGGGGCTGGTAGCCACGCCAACTGCACGCAATGCAACCAACAGCAACAGGCCAATAGGTGTGTGTGTGTGTGTGCCTCTTCTGGAGAGTGTCCCCGCGTGTGTGTCTGTCTGTCTGTCTTACGCAGGGACGTCAGGGTTTGAGTGCGGCCTCAGGAATCTCTCGGGGTCGAACTTGTGTGGGTCCTCCCAGAAGAGCGGCGAGTGGTGGATGTTGTAAATGGCCAGAAACACGTCCTGACCTCGCATCATCCGACAGCTGGCCGATCCACGCCATATACCACACACACAAACAGAAGGAAAGGAACGCACCGGTTACGTCGAGTCGATGAGTGGATCGTTTCTCCTTGTTGTATCTCTGACATACTTGAATCCCGCGGTGCCCTTAGGGAATGTATCGTCCTCGAGTGCTCGTCGGATGAGGAATGGCGGCTCCGGGTACTTGCGCAGCGACTCAGCCAGACACAACCGCAGCAAAGGCATCTTGTTGATCAACTCCCACGTGGGCGTCTCGTCACCCAACACGGCATCAACCTGAAAGCCATCAGATCAGCCATGGACACACGATTACCCACACTGATGCGTACGCCTCTCTCTCTCTGTCTCCCGTCTCACCGACCTCTTTAAGCACTTTCTGGAGGATCTCGTTGTTCTCCGGCAGTGACAGCTCGTACAGCGCCCACGTGAGTACACTGGCGGTTGTCTCGTGCCCGGCAATGAGGAGTGTGGCGAGGTCGTCCCTCAGCTGTTTGTTGGACTTGTCGATGTCCTCCCCCCGGAGGTCGACCAAAAATCTGAGCAGTGAGGCGTCGCTGCAGGAGGCGTAGTCTCGGTTCAGCAGCGACTCGAGATCCTCCTCACGACCGCCGGCCTGCGCCTGAGGCAACACGCCAAGGAAGGGAAGGGCAGCACACAAACGTGTTGGTTCCTGTGTGTATCGGTCATTGTTTCTGGTCTTGGCTGGGTGCTGAGCTGACCTTGGCTTGTTCGATGAGCTCGTCGAGCACCTCGTTGACCACCTTCAGATCCCTGTTGAACCTGCACACACACGGGGATGGACGGATGGACGGATGGACGCCCCCATGGCCATGTGAGTAGGTGGCTGGTGTTGCTGACCTCCTGAGTCTGGGGACGAGTTGGTTGGCGAATGGGAGTTTCCAGTAGGGGAGGGGGATGGTCGACCGGTGCTCAGCCTCCTGCAGCAGACTGTACACGGCCTTGATCACAGGAGACTCCTGATCGACACACACATCGAAACAGACATGCCTGGACAGTCTGGCAGATAAAGGCACGTGCGCACCTCTGTAACGGATCTGAATTCGTAGTTGAAGACGCTCTTGCCGATGATGTCAAGTGACACGCTGTTAAATGCGCTTTCCATGTCCACGACCTTGCCCTTGTCGACGGCCTTGTGCAGCTCCTGGACCAGCAGGTGGTTGCAGTCGTTGTAGACACCCACCATGTGGTCCAGCCACATCTGATGGAAGGCTGGAGCCAGCACCCGACGACGCACCTGACCAACCAATCCAGCGCATTGACAATGTTCATGTGCAGTCACACAGTGTCTGTGCGTGTGTGTGAGTGGGTGTGTGTTGGTGGTGGGGGTTACCTACCTTCCAGGTGGCGGGGTCAGCGGGAATGAGTCCCTTGCCCATGATGGGTTCGAGTATCTCGGCGAGCACGCCCTTGTCGTACTTGTGTGAGGCCCCCTTGAGCAGGTGCTTCATGATGATGGGGTCGCTCACCACGATGAACGACTTGGGGCCGAACAGCAGCTTGAACACCCCGCCGCTCTCCTTGTAGTTGTCATATAAGTCCAAAAATATAGCATCCGGGTCCGTAATGCGACCTGAGCAGACACACACGCATAGATATGGAGATTGTGTGGTGTGTGTGTGTGTGTGCTGGAGATGAGATGTGATCTGCTGACCTTCAGCCACGGGGGCGCCGTCATAGCTGGGTTGATGGTCATAGACCTGGTCGATGTTCTTGACAATGACCGCCAGCTGGTCGCCCACAGTGACCGGCTCACCAGGCTTGCCCCGCGGGAACATCGAAAACAGCCACTCCCTCCCCTTCTCTATCGTCTCATCCTTATACGAGCTCACGATCCGCATATCGCCAGCATGAGGGCAAGCGGCCGGAGTGCTCCCCCTCGTCTCCGTCTGAGCGGCCGCCATCTCGCTATGCGGACAGGCAGACGCAGACTCGAGAGGAGCTGCAGGAGCCGTTGCGGCAGCAGCATGGTCGGTGTGTTCAAAGGGGCACTTCTCTCCCGGTTCGCTCTCGTGGTGGTTGGCCTTGTCGTCCTCCGCGTCGATGAGGGTCGGCGGAACAGGGGCGTTGTGGTCCGGCAGGTCAGGAAGGACCGTCACGGAAGAAGTGGGCAGTGCCGCGTCTGTCTTGGTGCTCCTCAGAGACGAGGACGCAAATCGCGACGAAGACGGTCGAAAGATGAACGCAGCGCCGCCCCTTCTCTCCACCGCCCTCCCTCCCTTGAGCAGCAGCAACAAGGTGGAAAGAGCCAGGATCATGCCGGCACGCGCTGAACCCGTCCGTCGCCTCCTGCGCCAGTCGATGCATGGCGGGGAAAACGGTAAGGGGGAGGGCGGGGAGGGGGATGAACCACTGCCACTCTGTCTGCGAGGGGAGCATGACGCGCTAGGGGAGCATGCCGCCTCGCGACATGGATGGCAGGACGGGGGTGCACTTGGCGCATCTCGAGAAGACTCCTCCATCTGCACAACACAGACAGAGGAAACAGCCATGAACTTCAGCGCAATCAAGACGCCTCCGTGCCATGCTCTTCATCGTGACCCGAGCAGGCAGCCGCTGGGTTTGACTTTCAATGAGGACTTCTGGAGTCTGTGATGCGGGAGGTTCAAGATCAGAAGAGCACTCCCTCTTGCCAGCCAGGCGCACCCCTGATGACTTCATTTCGCTGACCACAGCTGCAGATCTCGGCTCGCACCGCAACGCGAGCTACGAAATCCGGGCGTGCCTTTCATTTTGTGCAAGTGGGCTCCTCCCGCATCCCTGAGGGCATTTTAGCCCTTGCTGGCCACCGCCAAGAAGGAAGCTGTTGTTGGCTTGAAGGTGGCTACTCTGTGCTGTATCTGCTGACTATGGGTGGTGTTCTCGACACCATCAAGGTGACCTGCACACGTCCTCATGACTCTTCCACCGCATTTGACACTCTGTGTGATTGTTGCGTGGGTTCAGGAGACCTGTGACTCCTGTTGCGGTGCGGGTCAAGAGCCCTCCAAGGACCGCTTCAACATTCAGGTGGTGGGGGCGCAGGACCCGCCAAAGCGGGAGGATGTGGCCGTCTTCCCTCCCCCACCTGGCCCACAAATGAACGGCACCAAGGCAGCGGATGACCCGCCCGCATTCGGCTCAGCGGCCGAGCCAGAGGCACAGCCCTCCGAGCGGTCCCCGGCAGCGTACAGCGGGGCTCCCGAGGTGCCCGACATGGCCCCGCTGTCGCAGGAGACCAAGAAGTGGGACCTGGATGGGATTTTGCGCGACCCTGAAGGCGCTGACGCGGAGCTGCTGCGTCAGCTGTTCGACACGTGGGTCAGTCCGTCGCTGGGCGTGGTGACGCTGGACGGCGTGGCGCCGCTGCAGTCCTTCTGCCTGGAGAGTGCTAGCGGGTTGAGCGACACGGCCTTCAGCGAGAAGCTCTTCCACGTGCTCGACGGCAACGGCAACATCGACTTCTGGGGCTTCCAGACGCTCGTGAGCGAGACAGCCGTCAACCAGCAGGAGGTCATCGAGACCTTCATGAAGATGAACCCTGAGCATGACGCCATCAGCGCATTCGACGCCCGGACGGCCCTGCGGACACTGGGCGAGAGGCTGGAGCTGACGGACGGGGAGTGGGACGTGGTCCTCGACGCACTCATGCAGAGCGCCGACTTCAGCGTGAGCCTCGACAGCTTCCTCATGCTCTACGGCAGGCTCCAGACCATCGCAAGGGCCTACAAACTGGCCAAGACCGCAAACACATGAGTGATTGATCTTGATGGAGGCAGGGATTGACGGATGGTGTGTGATTGTTTGATGGAGCGAAACCTGAGTGGTGTGTGGATGGAGCGGCTGGGCGCGAAATAGCGTCTTGCGAGGCTGCATGGCTCAAGTGACTGGATGGCGGCTGGTTGCAATTGACTGGTGTGGTGAGGGGTGGCTGATCGATCCGACCGACTGACTGCATTGCCTGCACGGGTGTGGTGTTTTCTCGCTGCGATGCGTGTGCTGCGTGCCTGCTGACATTTGAGGGAATTAACGAGTGATCAATCGCTAAGGCCGTGACTGTCACACACAGAAAGAAAGAACCAACCCAAATCCCACCACACACAGACGTACGTCAGGTCACGTCAGATGGTCTGATCCATCCCATCACAAGGCACTCGGTCGTCATCAGGCAGGACATTATTCGAATGACCTGGCCGACCAACGAACGCATCGCAACGCACCCCCACACCACACAACGAAGGGCAAGGCAAGCCACACCGCTAACGACGTCCGTCGTCCATCACATCAGTCAGTAGTTGACGTTGGCATTTTTGGGTCCGATGTAGTCGTACCCCAACTCCAGGTACTTGGCGGGCACTTTCTGGAAGCTGTAGTGCGGCACCGCCCGGTGGTCGGTGTGGATGAAGAGCCCGTTGAGCCACAGGAGGCCGAAGTGGTTGACGAACTCGAATTTCTTGGGGTGGTAGTGGTACAGCACCGTCAGCTGAGACTGCAGCACCGACACTATCGCACCTGCACACACACACAGAGAGAGAGAGAGAGAGTGGGAGTGTGGGCCGGTGGGTGGGTGCTGGAGAGGCATCTGTGGTGTCTCGCTGACTGACCGAATTTGAGCCCTTTGTGTTCTTTGTCGTAGCCGTGGATGGGGTCAGACGGGATGATGAAATTGTCACCCAGCGTCTCGATCTTGGGCGGCTCGTTCTTCAGAGTCTGCCACCTGCAGTACACACCATACCAGACACAGTACAGCCACACACATGCATCTCCCCCACCCTCAGCTGTCCCGCCCGCTGACCCACCGACCAGTAAGCGCCTGCAAGGAACTTCCTCCATGTGAATTTGAGGTAGTCAACACCATCACCCCAGTCGAATCGCATGGCGTCGAGGACCGGCCGCCTCTCCCAGTGCTCCTTGGCGTCGATGCCGCCCCACCGGAACTCGTCCAGGATGGGCCCCAAAGGCATCCCCCGCCACTCGGCCGGGAACCAGGTGTTGTTGTGGTCGATAACGTAATCGTTCTTCATGTCGTTGAAGGAGCGACCGTACAGATCCTGCAGACATCCACACATGTGGATGGGGGGCATGTTGTCTCTATGTCTCTGTCTGACTGACTGACTGACTCACTTCGTAGTATCTCATGGCCTCGACTACGTCGTCGAATGTCCAAGTGAAGTTGCCGTAGAACTCGTCCTGGTAGCCGCCCTCCCAGTCCTGCCGTGTGGGCTGCGGCACCAGCTGACCCGTCTCGTTGAGCTTGGCCACGATCTTCTCCTTCAGACGCCGACGACGCCGCGGCTTCTTGGTCGGCTCGGGCAACGGCGTCAGCACCTACAAACACACACACACAAGCGGTTGTGTGTTGGCCGGTGTGTGTGTGTGTGTGTGTGTTGTGACTGACCTTTCTGAGGACAGGTTTGGTGAGGCTCTCGAGTAAGTCTTGCAGCTGCGCCTCCTCCTCCTTCATGATCCTCTCGGTCTCTGTCATGCCCGTGTCCTCGACGGCCATCGCCGCGCCACGCGAGTCCGTCACACCAGTGCCCAGGCCACGGCGCTCGGGGTCGACGAAGTCCATGAGGCCGGTGTCCTCTGGCGGCGCCGGCACCCCCGCCTCGGACACCTGCCCTTCCTCTGCGAAGTCACCTACACGGACAGTGGGAGAGAGACGTCCAGGCACCCACCCATTTCTATGCGCCGGTAGGTACGCACCGGGCAGCAGTGGCGGGGGAGGCGGCAGTGAGGGCTGCTGCTGGCTCCTCTGCGTGAGGACGGCGAGCGCCTGCCTGAACACGGGTCCCCATCGAGGGTCGTTGTGGTATCTGTGGACGCGTCGGCCCAGCTTGAGGTTCCACAGGTCGACGTCCCACGGAGGCTCGGACGGGATCACAAACTTGATCTTCAGGTCATCCTTCTTCTCTATCTCCTGGGCACACAACACACACAGAGGAAAAGGTGGGTGAATCGGCTGCCTGTGAGGACGGTGGCTCTGTGATGTGTGTGTGCCTACCTGGTACTGCAGCACGCCCCTGGCGAGTCTCTCCAGCTCCTGGGCGATCTTCTCGTCCTTCTGGGTGTACATCAGACCTGAAGCGAAGAAAGGGCCAACAGACACACACACAGCAAACATCAGCTCATGTGTGTGTGTGTGTTCTCGTATAAGTGAGTGGGTGGCGTACCCAGCTTGTCGAGGAAGTCCGTGGCGCCCGGGATCCGCCTCCTCAGAGTCACCTGGCGCCGCCGGATGTCGTGAACCTGACATACAAAACACACACACACACACGGAGGTAGTGGTGGATGCGGCCTCGCTGGCTCACCTTTTTGCCGAGAGCGTATCCCTGGAACTGGCTTGGCCATGGCTTCTCGCGCGGCACGAAGTAGCTGATGTCGATGCCCCTGACGGTGCCGTAGAGGTTGAAGAAGTACTCCAGACACAGACAGGTCTTGATCAGGTCGATGTATGTGCCGGGAATCGCTGACACCTGGGCGGCACGAACTGAACAGACATATAGAGAGGTGGTCGAGTGGATCCATGTGAGCCTGTGTGCCCACCCAGCTCGTTGAAGGTCATTTCGTTGAGGTTTTTGGTCTGCTTGGTCTCGCGGACTCGCTCCAACACGTCAGCTGCAACCAAATAGACGAACACACAGGCAGGCAGGGAGGAGCCATCCGTGTGCACGCAGCTGCAGCTGTCTGTATGTGCGTAAGGCAATCAGCAAGCATGGCATACGTGTGAGTATCTGGTCCTGCAGTTCCGACCACCCCTCAAAGCCCAACGCCTCCAACTCTGCCTGCCACTCAGGGTGACGCTGACACACACACACACACACACACGCCCACATCGACAAAAGACAGCTCTCTCTCTCTCTCTCTCTCTCGCTCTGTGTGCGTGTGTATGTGTGTTCGTCGTTCCTTGGCTCAGCTCACTTTGATGTAGAGTCCCTCTTTCTTGACCTGGCTGTACTTGCGGCCGAGAGCATAGCCCCAGAAGTAACGCGGCCAATTGGGGTCTTGGTCAGGGATGGTGAATTTGACCATCATCTTGACGGTCCCGTAGAGGGTCTTGTACACCTTGAGCAGATTCAGCAGCGCCTCAAACTCCAGCCGCAGGTCACGCTCGAGGCCGCCATCCGTCGAAAACACCAACTTGCCCACCCTGCACAACACAACACAACATTGTTGACACGACACACAGATGGACACCTGCGTCGATATGTGGATGTCTGTCTGATGTGGGCGTATCGTACCTGCCTCCCCTCCTGAGCCTGAATTCGCCGATGCCCACCCCTGGTGGCGGCTCCTTGTCCTTCGCATCGAACAATGGGCTTGTGTCGTCAAACAGGGGGGCGGCAGAGGGCACCTGGTCCACACCCACCTGACAACCAAACAGCGACAGCCACAATGAATGCACCCACCCCACCCGTACAGATGCCGCTGAGTGGCGTACTTGTTGTGATGGCGGTGGCTGATCGTCGCCCCTCCCCTCACTCAAACACACCACACCCATTGGCCGCCTGTACACCCTCCTCTCGCCCACGTTGGCCCTCAGCGCCCTCCCCATCCCCCTGTACACGACCGATGCCCTCCCCACAAAGGCCGCTGACTCCCTCAGCGCCATCAACAGAGATAACACAGAGATCCACAAGGCTGTTTGCCATCGAAAGCAATGGCCGAGTGAACAGACGGGATGATTCATCGCCATGGCAGCATACGATGAATCATCCGAGTGTGCCTCGGGATAGGAAGCCTCGTGGCACCTTCCCAGATCCTCAGTCGTCTTCATGGCCTATCGCCGATGCATGAGTTCTTCCCGTCTGGAGTCTGGAAGAATGAGCAGACAAGTCGACAGATCTCCCAAGCTGTCAGATCACGCTCACGCAGCAGTGAGATGCAGAACAGTGGTTGACTGAGGAGGTTTGAAGCTCCTGCGCCTCTGCCTGGTGACACTGTGTGTGCTCCGTTACACGTACATCCTAAACCCTCGCAAGACGCAGAGCGCTGAAACGAGGGGCCATGATGCGCGCAAGAGATGTGCTCTTGGATGCCACTCTGCTGCTCTTTTCACTTATCTTCATGGCGACTCCACGAACGGCAGCCAAGCTCATCCGCAGATCCAGCACATCCACACACGGCAGGCAGCATTCGGGGCCTCCCGCCTCTGCATACGTCCACTATCCGCCAGAAGGACCGACACGCATCGGCTTCCACCCCAGCCATGCCCCATTTCCACGACGTTTCATCTCTCGCCTGTCGACCATCAGGGCGCCAACCCGCCGCTACTCGAGCAAGGCCGGCAGTGCTCCAGATCTGGCGACGTTGATACGGCAGAAGAGTGCGGCCGAGAAGCTGAGTCGGCTGCGTGAGCTGATGAAGGAGAGGGGCGTGAATGTGTATGTGGTCGGCACGAGGGACGCCCACAACAGCGAGTACACGGCTGACAGGGACGCCAGGAGGGCTTACGTTAGTGGATTTGACGGGTCGGCCGGGACGGCTCTCGTCACAATGGACAAGGCCCTGCTGTGGACAGATGGCAGGTGAGTGAACAAAAAGTCAGTGCACTGGGTGCCCTAATGGTCCTCTTCTCTCCCTTTGTGTGTTGTTTCGTTGCAGGTATTTTCTGCAGGCTGAGCAGCAGCTGGATGGCGACCACTGGGCGCTCATGAAGACAGGCCTCCCCGACACACCCACACTCGAGAAATGGATAGACGAAAACGTCCCTGGTAACTAACGCACAACAGGCCGACCACCGCTCGAATCTGCTCTCCATCCTCTATCCTCCTTTGCAGACGCCGTGGTCGGTATTGACCCCTACACCACGTCGATCAGCGGTCTGAAGCAGCTGAAGAAGCAGCTCAAGCGCAAAGAGGTCAAGCCCATCAACGGCAACCTGGTTGACGAGATGTGGGGCGCCGACCAGCCGCCGATGCCGTGCGAGCCGGTGTTTGTGCACGCTGAGGAGCTTGCTGGCAGGAACACGACCGAGAAGCTGGCAGGCATTCGGAAGAAGATGAAGGAGAAGAAATGCGACCTGATGGTCGTCACGGTGAGAACTGCACTCGGGAGGGGGGAATGAGCGATGCAGCCCCCATCGGACTGTCTGTTTGTGATTGACTGTGTAGGCGTTGGATCAAGTGGCGTGGCTGCTGAATCTTCGCGGGTCCGACGTGGCCTTCAACCCTGTCTTCTTCGCATACGTCACCATCACACCAGACGATGTCACGTACGCCCACCCGCCCCCCCACACACAGAGGAGGGGCAACCGCAAATCACACTCTCATCTCCCTTCCTGCCAGGATTTACTGCAACTCTGAGCGCCTCACCGCCGAAGCGCGCACACAGCTGCAGACACACGATGTCAGCATCCAGCCTTATGAGTCACTCACGGCCGACCTGACAGCAATGTCAGCAAAGCTATCGCCCGAGGGCAGGGTGTGGGTGGAGCAGGCGTGCAATCTCGCCGTCAAGACCGCGCTCGAGGCGGGGCTGGACGAGGAGAGGCGGAAAGGTGGCGACGACGACGACTGGCTGATGCTGCAGGATACCCCACTGGCGTTGGCTAAGGCCAAGAAGAACGATGCGGAGCTGGCGGGTGTGCGGGAGGCTCACGAGAAGGATGCGGTGGCTCTTGCCAACTTCTTTGCGTGGCTCGACAAGGCAGTCGAGACCGGGGATGTCTGGAAGGAGGATGAGTGCACTCTGGCTGAGAGAGTGGAGGCATTCAGGGCACAACAGGTGGGCGAGAGAGATGCCGAGTGGGAGGGCCCGCGCATATCTCTTCCTCTCCGCCCGTTCAGGCTGGTTTTCGCGGTCCCTCGTTTCCCACCATCTCGTCAGTTGGGCCCAGTGGCGCCATCATACACTACAGGTGAGTGCAGTCGAGACCAGCATGAGAGACCCATTGCGATGCGATGTCCCCTCTCCTCTCTGTGTCCATCCTGTCATTGCGCTGCAGGCCTGAGGAGGGCAATTGCCTGACGGCCCAGCCCGTCATGTATCTGCTGGACTCGGGAGGCCAGTATGAGGAGGGCACCACTGACGTCACGAGGACTGTCCACCTGGGAGACCCTAGTGACTTTGAGAGACAATGCTGGACACGAGTACTCAAGGTGAGAACGACGTAAGGGATGGAATACACAGCCTTGGTCCACCCATCCATCGATCTCTCCGTGTGTGGTGGTTGCATTCAGGGTCACATAGCTCTAAGCCAGTGTGTCTTTCCGCCCAACACCAAGGGCCCCCAACTGGATGCCCTCGCGAGGACGTCACTGTGGGCCTACGGCCTGGACTACCGACACGGCACCGGCCATGGGGTGGGCGCATTCCTGCACGTACATGAAGGGCCGCAAGGCATCTCGCCCAACCTCAAAGTGAGACCATGAGCAGAAACAAACTTCACAGAATGAGTTAATCCCGTGTGTGTGTGTGTGTGTGTATATGTGTGTGCGGCACAGGGCAGCTCGGCTGAGACGCCGCTTGATGTGGGCATGATCGTGTCCAACGAGCCCGGCTACTACCACGACGGCCACTTCGGCATCAGAATCGAGAATCTCATCACCGTCAGGGAGGTCGACACAGCGCACTCATTCGGGGGCAAGAAGTACCTCGCCTTCGAGCCTCTCACTCTGGTACGTGCCTTGCCTAGCCACCAATGACACAAACGAAACGACCACCTGCGGTCAGTATTTCTCTGTTCACAGGTGCCATTTCAGCGCAAGATGATCGACCTGTCACTGCTGAGCGATGATGAGATCAAGTGGGTCAACGCCTATCACGAGAGGGTGCGCGAGACGGTCGAGAGGCGGCTAAGGGAAGAGGAGCAACGCTCCAGTGGGTCCCCGACAGTCGATAACAGCGATGTGATTGCATGGCTGAGGGAGGCCACCGCCCCACTGACGCGGCCGTCAGCGGCAGGAATGACCGAGAGAAGGGAAATGGAGACTGTGGCAGCTGCGTGAGCTCTTGTACATTGCTTGATGCGTTCTCGCGGCTGTGAGTTTTTGTCCCTTTTGGCCTTTCATGTCTTTGTGTGCGTGGGTGGAGTGGATGTGAGACCCGCTGGCAGATAGGGCGTGTTGTGTTGTGTGGACTCGCAACAGACAGCATGGTGAGTGACATGACGATCGATTAATACCAAACTGGTCCGACGACAGACAAACAGCAGCTGTCAGCAACGAAAGAAACCGAAGAACACCCCCCAGCCCTACACGAATGAAT